GGACACATGGGCTGCTTATACCTTCTGGCTATTGTGTTTAATGCTGTTATGAAGATTGGGTACAAGGGTCTATCTGAGACCCTACCCTTCGTTCTTTAGAGCGTATACTCAGAACTGGGTTGCCAGATCATATGCTAAGTCTATATTTAAGTTTTCGAGGAACCCCAGCCCCTTTGTAACCCATACTTATGAAGGTCTAATTACATTCAGCCAAATTCACTGAGTTTGAATGTGCCATTTGATTCCTTTTGGTGGCTGAGATTAATTAGATTGTTTCTATCACTTCAGAAAGTTTCTTAAGCCCCTTTGCAGAAAAGCCCTAATCCCTCACCTCTCACCCCCTCTCAACCTCTGACACTCACTGACTTTATCTAATTTTTATGTGTATGGTTGTGCAAATTCCAGAATGTCATATAAATGAAATCACACACCATATGTATTATTTGATCCTAGCTTCCTCATCTTAGCAACATGTCTTTGTGATTTATTCACAGTGCTATGTGTGTCAGTAATTCCTTTTTATTCCAAAGTTGCATAAAGGTGACACAATTTATTTCTCTATTCACCAATTGTTTTGGTCAATTATAAACAAAACATCTATACATATTCCCATATTGGTAGGTCTTTGTGGGAACCTGTGTTTTCATTTCTCTTGGGTAAGAATACAGGAATGCGATTCTTAGTATGTTTGACTTTATAGGAAAGACCTTACATCTCTTCAACGTCAATTCAATGGAGCTTTGAAGTTTTTAGGTTTGTAAACTTGAAAATTTGTAACTTCCCTAGATCCCCTGAGTGTTATATAACAGGATGGATGTTCCCTGCCCCGTCTTGGAAACTGGGGAGGAGATAGGAACTGTAGAGGTATTGAGTTAGGCCCTCCAAACCTGGGCATAGTTTGCACAAAAGCCACAGCTGAGTTTAAAGTTGCGCACTAAAGAAAGCCAATGTCATGAGTGAGTATGTTGTTAACATAGACCCAACACATATGTGTCTTTCCACAATGTCAGAATTTACTGAATAACAGTAAATTAATGAGCTACACCACTTTTAGCAGCTGAAATTCACTGAATACTCGTGAGTCACCTGATAGTCCTAAGCCAAGCAATCACAAGTTCTTCAATTCCAAACTAAACCATTAACATGTATAACACTCAAGCCAAACATCTCTCTCTCTCTCTCTCTCACACACACACACACACACTACACACACACGTGTGTGTGTGTGTGTGTAGTGTGTGTATGTGTGTGTATATATATATATATACACACACACATATATATCAGAAAGGCTAAAAAAGGGCTAAGGCAGCCACAGAAGCTCAGGAGACAGAGAGCAAAGACAGAGGGCAGATATAAATGCAAAGAGTCAGTGTAGGTGGTCAGATAAGATGAGAAACCAGCCTAAGAAATTTGTTTGGGGCATAGAGGTGTCAAAGTGTAGAACTTATTCTAGGACAGGGTCCAGAGGGATGGCAGTTTCACAGTGTCAGCTTCAGATGTCAGCTTGAAATGGGCTGTGCATGGTTGTCACATGTAAGAGAAACCATGCCATGCTGAAGCCCTAGGACAGAGAATCAGAAATTAGTCACTGTGTACAATTTTCCTGGACAAGGCTCATAATGAGTGACCAGGTTACAGGGTCAGTTTGCCAATGTGTCCAGTCCTGGAGTACTTCTTTTTATGGGTCTCTGGGGAGGGGGTTTCTTCTTTGGTGGTCTGGTATTTTCCATAAGTTCATGGGCCTGGTTTTTCTGATATGGGGTTGAAAGACCTATGAATCCATGCACTTCTGATCAATTTGATAAGTTCACAATGTTAGGGAGTAGCTAGCAATGAGCAGTGAAATACATGGAAAGGTCACAAGTGTTCTTTAAATTACTTTAGGGTCCTCTTTAAACTACTTTCAAAGTGGACAAGAAAGAAAAGGGTGGTAGTTAATTTGTAGAAAATAAATAGAAGCAAAGGAGCTAATGGGAAAATATGTCAAAAGAAAAAGATTAATGGGACTAACTCTTGACAGGGTCCATTGATGTAGATGTGAAGCTAGGAATTATGGCTAGAGGTGCTTCCACTTGTCTGGGAAGGAAGATTCCTTTAGTAGTGCAGGTGCACCATGGTCACTTCTGACCAGCTCTTGACCCCAGTGCCCACATTTACATGGGATTGACTTGTAGATGAAGCCTCCTAAATAGGATGGCCACCATGACAGTTCCAGAGAGAGCCAGTGAATGCAAAGAGTCAGTGTATGAAGGTGGTCTGGTATGTCAAAAACTCCACTGCCCTACATGAAGGAGGAGTTGAACACCTGATTGGCAAAGAGTACAGAAGGTGGTTCCCAGTTCTCCTGGTAAACATCAAACAGTAATAAATCTGGAGACAGCATTGTCTCCTTTGTCATTCTCTGCTGAAGATGGCCCACTCTTTCTCTTGAGGGTGCTCTGCTTAAGCCTCGCTTTGCTTTTACTCTACTTTCACTTATAACAAGTTCTCTTGCATGGCTTTTTGTGCCTGACTTTAAATTTTCTTTCATTGGAACACAAGAACTGAGGTTTAGAGTTTCAGCTCCCTGCTTTCCAGTGACAACAGGTGATCATTTTTTGTTCATAGGATCAATTACTGGTTTGTACCTTATGGTTGTAATAGGCAGATAATGGTTGTTCAGTTGCACAAATAAGTAGAGTTCATTTTACTTCAGTAGTTATACTCAAAGTTGAGTAACTAACTCAAAGTTGAGTAACTAATGGCAAACTTCTGCTTTATAAAATGGAGTAATTCCAGGTTGGGCACAATCTAAAAACTACTGATCTGTTAATCATAGAGTACCCCAGAGCAGGGCACATTCTGCTGTCTACACAGAGAATGGAAAGAAAAGGGTGAGGGGGATATTTGGGGCTGAGGTTTTATTCAGAAGAACAAGTAGGGGTATTAAAATGCATCTATTAGACCTGTATGTGTAGTACTGCAGACACTAAGGGATGGGATGGTGGGTGTGACTTGGGAAACCAATAAAGGAAACTGAGTTCCCTACCCACGTGGAGAAGAAAGGACAGCCTCAGACTCTGAGCAGGACCGGTTGGGGAAGTCAACCTTGAATAGTCCAGGAAGGTTCCCCCAAGGGAGCACAGGATGTGGGGTAGGGCTCTGTGTTTCCGATGTGGACTTTCCTGTGGGTCTGGAGGGCCATGACCCTAGCTAACTTCTGCCTTTGACAGCTTGCCTATTCAATAGGCTTCTGTTTTCTGGTACCTCCCCACAGTTGAGTCCTGGGAATAATTGAGTCTTCCATAAATAAGGCTGCAGATAAATGGGATAACTCACCTGACAAACCCTTCCCTAGATCACAGCAGATAGTTTGGTAAGTGTTTGGGAGGATCTGAGTAGACACATCTGCTTGTGGAGGGTTAGTCCCAACTTTCTTAGGTCACAGTAGTGGGGCTATCCTTGTGAATGAGACCCCAACACACTTCAGTGGACAAGTCATTTGGCTTGCATACTTCTCATTGGTTCATCCAGACCTGAGGAACTATGTCTCAAGTCAGCCCAGTCAATGGCGTGGGGATAAAATGAGAGTGTTTCTGAGTAACATGTTGACCAAGTTAGTAGGGTTCTTGCATTGGGCTGGGGCAGTAGGCAAAACGAAAGGAGCCCTTCTCAGATACTTTTATAAGTCCACGAGGAAAAGGATCACTGGTGTCTGGGCTTGGATCCTGTCTCTTGTACTCCATTAGTTATGGCACCTTGGGTGAGTAACTTACTTAATCTCTGTGCCAAAGTATGTAACTTAGGAATTTTTCAGCAGCTACTAACAAAGCCCTTAACAATAGTTTAAACATGGAAAGCATTTATCTCTTACACACCTTCCATATTCTTGCTCTGCTACCCTTAGCACATGGATTCCATCTTCAGTATAATCTCATATTCCATTAGGGCTGCAGGTGGCCTAGCCATCATATCTTCATTCTGGACAAAAGGGAAGGTTAAAAAGGAACACACATTTTTAAGAACTTTTCCAGATGTCCCCATTTCAAGAGTTTTTTTTTTTTTTTTTTCAGAAATCCCATTCAACATTCTCTTTCCCATCTCATTGTCTGGAAGAAGACCTGTGCTCCTGGAAAACAGGGAAGGTTAAGAATTTCCCCCATTCTTAGTGTGCTAGAAACAAGCCTACTGCAAAGAAAGCCCCTTCTCAATACGATATGGACAAGAGTCACAATGAATCCCCACTTTGTTTACCTAAAACCAGAAAGAGCCCTTCAAATTCCTTTTCATTTTTCTAGTCTTTGGTCATGTTTGTTGCATGTATTTCTCCCTGTTTTCGCTTTTTATTTTGGTTTACTTTTTTGAGTAGAAGTTTCCAACTTTTGGGGCTTAGCATGTGAGAGTTTTTTCATCACTTTTAAGCTTAAGTCCTCCACCAGGAACACCTGATAATAATGGTGACGATGATTATTATTTTGGTCTGTGTTGTTACAATCAATGTTTCACACTCATGGACTTTTCTTTTTTATTCTCAGGAACGAGGCGGGACAAAACCCTTCTTTGCCCTGGCATTAAAAGCTCAAGATTGCAGATAAGGCAGCGAAAGAAAGACCCCTTGCCCGTGTCTTTTCCGCGAGAGGTCTCCAGAGGTGATATCCACGCAGGTGGGTCAAAGCCCCTTCCTACCAGTGAGATAGCTGAGGCTCAGCAGAGGGATGTCACCATGGCGACGGAAGAATTAAAAGTGTTTTACAATCTTTGGGCACAGCTGAATCGGGCGGGCGGGGGAAACTGAAGCTGGAGTCCCGCCCCCGGCCCAGGGACCCGCCCCTAAGCCCGCCCCCAGACCAGGTCTCCTGAGGACTTCTCTGCTCGGCTGGGCTCCTGCCAGTGCCCGCCCACCACTGGTTTCATTGGTTGTTCCTCCGGCCCCGCCCCCGGAAGACTCGATTCTAGCAGCCAATCGACGGGCGCGGCGGCCGCGGAGGGTCGCGGCGGGGCTGGGAGCCGAGGTACCGGTTCCTGGAGGAGGGGGCCGCGGTCTTGAATGCAGTCCTCGCGAGCTTGTAGCGGCGCGGTGGTCTGGCCTAACTTGTCGGCTCCGGCGCGGGCAGCCACTCCATGGCTTCCTGAGGGGAAGCTCCGGCAGGTGGAGGGGCGGTGACTGTAGAGAGCTGGTCCCAGATTGCGGGAGTGAGAGGTCAGAGGTTGGAGGTTGTGCTTTTGTAGAATGTTGGGGTCCCGCCCTTATAAGCCAGGGTCAGGGCACTCCCTTTTTCTGTGTGGCTGGTGTTTTGTTTTGGTCCCCTCCTTTCTCAGAAGGTGCTGTAAGGGAAACTGGGCTCTGAGAGCCGTGGGAGCCCTCTTGTAGCTCCTGTGCTTGGACGAGAAGGCCCGGTCCTCGAGCAGCCTCCCTTCTCCTCCCGTGGCCGTGGCATCAAGGAGTTGGGGCGGTGCCTACCGGAGGGCCTCGACCCGGTGGGGGTAACGCTGGGCTCCGGGCAGTCCGTGAATGGACCACATCCGTATGATTTCTTAGGGCTTCATGCCAGCGCCTGTGCAGGCCGTCATTCTCCGAGTTTGATTTATAATTTCTGGAATTTCATTAGAACGATTTGAAGAAGGAAAAGGGGGTATTATGGCTTTGGTACTTGGCTCAAAGTGGAAATACAAGCAGACCAGGGGAGGTAATGAATACAAAGTGACCTGTGGAAATGGGAGGAATCTCTTAGTTTGACAGGCTCTTCCCGTAACTTAGTCACATACGAGATAAGTTAACCAAATATCAAATTAAGAGCACTTTAGTTGTATTGATTATAGTAAAGACACCTTGGAATGTATAAAGTATTGAGTAAAAATTCTTTGTACCAAGGTTCCGAATTTAAGATTCTTAGTACAAGGAAACAGAACAATCTTACCTGTCATTGCAAGGATCCCAATCACTTTACCACTGTGAGACCAAAAATTGATGTTGTGTATAGATGTGGGATGATTGGGGGATGAGGGAGGATATAGTTATCAGTAAGCAATAAGGCAGAAGTGTGGGGAATCTCTTGTTTTCTGCACGAAAAGTATGAAATTAGGGGAAAAAATGTTTTTATTCTGCCCATGTCCTTCCATCTCAGCCAGCATAAGGACATTCTTGTTTTGGACTGAAGGTATTTATTCAGTATTTGCAATAATCAGGGAAAGGGATCATTGCTATGAGACACTTCTCTTTAATGAAACCAAGGAAGAATGAATATACCTTATATGGGATTAACCCTGGGATTTGGTTTTCAGTTAAGATGAGGCAAAAGGGAATGTTAACCAAGACACAAGGCCCAGCTGTTGTGTGTACAACTCCAAGCAGCCACATTTATGTGTTCAAGAATGGCAGTGGGGATTCTGGGGACTCCTCTGAGGAAGAGTCTCAACATGTTGTTGTACGGCCACGGGGCAAGGAACGCCAGAAGAACAGTGTTCACCACCCTCACAAGCCTGGAGCAGGTGACATGGTGCTGCTCCAACGGGAGCTGGCCCAGGAGGACAACCTCAACAAGCTGGCTCTTCAGTATGGCTGCAAAGTAAGATACCCGCCAAATACTTTGTCTCCTTGTATTTAGAGGAACATAGAGTAACTTATTTGTTACCCTTGCTGACCCCTAATAAGTGGCCAGAGGCTTATTGTAGCAGCCAAGGACTCCCATTTTAGCCAGATTTGGAAGGTTGGTAGAAGTATCTTTAGTTCTGTACCCTGGGCTCAGAAATGAGGTTAGTTAGGAACCTCAGGCCATAGTGCATTTGCCTCTCAGAGTAGTTTGACTCTGCCCTATCTCTTCCCATTAAAATTCTGAGACTTTATTTTTTCTTTTGAGCATATCTTATTTAAGACCTAAGGGGGCTGGAGACGCCAGGCAGAAGTTATCTAAGATTTTTTTAGCATGCTTGCTTTTATTGCTACTTTGATTTTTTTTCTTGACAGTAATTTATTTGACTAGTAAAATTTTCCCTTCTCTATTTTAGAACTGCATGGTTTAGCCTCTATGCTTTGTATTCTGTATAACCTTGTTTTTCTCTTTAATTATGTTTTTAGCATTCAGAGTGATTAACAATGGCAAAGTAAGTAGGAAAAGTATTTATAGAATCATGGCATTTTCTCTTAGATTGAAACTGTTCATTTCATTTTGCTACCACTGTACTACAGATTTCTGTGACCTTCTCTAAGGCTATATAAGCTATTTAGTAAAAAACAAAAAAATTCTCTCTTAAAATATCTGTCATTTATCTAACATGATTCACATGATTAAAAAGATTGTGTGTGGTGTTTGGATCTTTTCCAAAGAACTATAGGCTGGTCTCCAGGGACACATAGCATCTTTCAATTGCACTGACTTTTGTTTGACTCTTATCTTCAGCTTGTATAGGCATAATGTATGTTTATAGAACATGGACTGAAAAATAAATCCTACTCTACAAAGGCCTACATAGTTCAGGCCTGTTGGAATAGTGATGACTAATAAATCCATAAATAATATATAATGCCTCTAGTAACTAATCAGTTTTACTATTTTTAGTAAATAAATTTGCTGTTAGTTTAATAGAGAACAAAAATAAAAAAGTCTCAAGTATTTCCTACTTTCATTAATTTCAAAATAAAAAATTTCCCCCATCTGATTCAATGAAATGCCAAAAGCAGTTGTTAAAAAATTTCAGTCACTGACATGATTGATTTGAATGAGTTTGTGACTAAAGGTCTGGGGACTATATTTACATTCTAGTTAAAATGGGCTTTTGAGTTAAAACTTCTAGTTAAAATGGGCTTTTGAGTCCATTTCACATGCTTTTGGAAATTTTTCAGACATTAGCTTGTGGGGGAATTTACTTTTTCACTTACATTCCTCTGCTTTCCCCCCAAATTGGTCTTTTTAACACCTTTATTTTTATTTATTTATTTATTTATTTATTTATTTATTTATTTATATGTGGTGCCGGGTATGGAAACAGTGCCTCATTGCATGCTAGGCAAGCACTCTACCACTGAGCTACAACCCCAGCTCCCATTTCCCCCTTCTTAAATGTTAAGGTTTTAATTACAAGAGGAGTTTATTATGAACTTTGTGTTACTTAATAAAACTCTCAGCCATAGTTCTTTCATCTAAGTTTGAAATAGGAAATCAGTTTATAACTTCCAACTAGATTGATTTTCTATATTTCAAATGATAAGAAGTATTGAGATCTCTTCAATATATATTTGAAAAATAAGTTTAGATGCCCTGTAATTTTATTATTTGAAAAATAAGTTCATATACCCTATAGTAATCCTGTGAAAGTCCTTGAGGGCACATCAGTTAAAAGGTATTACAGATAAACTAGATTCTGAATGTGTCCTTAGAGGTGGCAGAGGCTTTGGCTTGCTAATGTCTGGCAGTTACTTAATTGGCTTCTGCTGTGAGTAGATTTCCAGATGGGGGCACTGTTGCCTCAAAAGTTAAAGGAAATACAAAGAGCACCAGTGTTCATTTTAGTGTCATGACTGTGTTTCACCTAAAAGCATTTTGTTTAATCACACTTTGTTTCCAAAACTTGTCTTAAGGTTGTTCAGACTTGTATATCTATAGGCATATTTGATTTACTAAGCTATTCATGAAGGCTGAGTAAAAACCAGAAAACAAACAAAACTCCCAACAATAGAACAACCCAAGTTACCTAAACTAATTCAGCATGCAGTGTAGTTTCCCAGCCTTCCTCAGCTTAACTGGGATGGACTTGGCTCATCACCCCAAAAGGTGAAGGGTTGGTTATTAGATTTAAGGAGGTATATAGATTTTATAATGTGTCTCTTCATGGCATCCCTAGGTTGCAGATATCAAGAAAGTCAACAACTTCATCAGAGAACAAGATTTATATGCTTTGAAATCTATTAAGATTCCAGTGAAAAACCATGGGATCCTAACAGAGACCCACAAAGAACTGAAACCTCTTCCAGAACCATCCACAGAGACCACAGTGACCTTTGTGGAATTACCAGATGTAGACAGAGCTACCACAGCCGCTGATGCCCAGGCCAGCCAACTGACAGATTTCTTTAAAGGGATTGATCAGAATATTGAGCGTGCAGTGCAGTCAGAGATCTTCCTAAGTGAGAGCTACTGCACAGAGACCTCTGATCAGCCACTGCTCCCAGCTCCTCCGAAGACACTGACAGATGGAGCAGACTGTGGGATTCAGTGGTGGAATGCTGTTTTCATCATGCTTCTAATTGGGATTGTGTTGCCAGTGTTTTATTTCGTCTATTTTAAAATACAGGCTCCTGAGGACATCCCTAATAGCCTGAACACAACTGCTGTTCATAATGGCTCAATGGTTCCAGGTTAAGCCCCAGATTTTCAAATTCCAAAGGCCACCATCAACTCTTCAGCCAGCCAGTCCAGTCAGAACACTCAGGCAAAGAAGTAGGTTGTTGTTTATGGATAATCAGCCCAGCTTTAGCAGTTGGACTTGATGTATCAGCTGTCACTGGCCATATCCTAAAGGTGCTACATTTTGGTTCCTGGGATATATGGATGCATTTCAGAAGTCACCACAGTATTCTCTATTGCACTGATCCTAAGCAATGGCCTCATCTAACCTAAGGCTGCAGGATCCCAAATACCACCACCGTCAGCCTCCATATCCAGAGAGGTGTGTAAGAGAGACATTTACATGTGACTGATGGCCACTTCTTGAAGGCATTTAGTGGACTGTGTGTGCTTTCACAGTAGTTCTGCATGGGTCTCTGCATGGATATGCTCAGAGTGGCAGGAATGGCCTGGCCAAGGGACCCATTCAGTGCATGCCCCACAATTGGTTTGGGTTGCCTTACTATTGTGTTCCCACCTGCTATGAAGGGGGGAGTAGGCCTGGCTCTAAGTTTGTTTCATGTTTCCCTGGCGAAGGTGCTATGGAATAGTATGCACATGTCACCCTGTGTTAGAGTGATAATGAACAATTATAACAAGCTGTGCTTCGTGTTTGCCTCTTCAGTTAGCAGTGCCACTTGTAGAATTGAAAAAAATTCCAAGTCCTAAATGCCATGCTATTGGGTAAACAGCCATTCTGTTCTTCATACTTCTAGAATTGTTTTGTCTGACACAGGCATGACTTAAGCCAAACACATAGGAGCCATTGCCCAGTTTCAGTCATGAGCATCCACCTGGTGATGGCTATGTGGGGTCTCCAGTCAGCATTCTTGGAAGGAGCTCTTGCTGGCTTGCATGTGGCAAAAAGGCAGCATGCTAGTCACCAAAGTTCTAGCACATGTACTTCTGAGGCTCAGCAGTCATTAGGCTAGCACTGCTAAGTCTCTGTGCACACCTGAAACATGATTCTTTCTGCTACTTCCTGACTCCATTCTTAGGAATACTAGAGCCACAGCATGAGAAGGCCGTTGTCCTCTTTTCTTTGGGTGATGTCCCTAGAGTAACCTTCTGTGTACCATGTGGCTCATAATGTTAAAGACAGACACATATGGCAGGGCTGGAGGTGTGTGTTAGTAAGGTTTTCTTTGCTGTAACAGAATACATGAGGTAAACATCTTCTGAGGAGGAATGGTTTATTTTGACTCATGGTTTCAGAGGCTTCAGTTTGGTTAATCTGCTATTTCTTAGTAGAGAAAACTTCACCTCATGACAGCTGGGAAGCAAAGAGAGAGGAAGGTTCAGGGTCCCACTACCCCTTCAAGGGCACATCCCAAGTGAGTTAACTTCCCCCCAGTAGGCCCTACCTGGTAAAGAGTCCATCACCTCCCAAACCAGCTTGGTCCACCAGTGTCAAGCCAAGGACCACACCTTTTAACATGTGGTCCTTTAGGGGGTTTATACAAAACCACAGTAAGTAGTTCTGGCTGTGAAAGTCCATAAAGAGGAGGCTTGATACCTGAGGGAGGAAGGGGCCTCAGGTTTGCTGATCAAGGCAGCAGGGATAGGTGGTGAGAGCATGCTGCTGCCTGGGAGTCAGTCGGCTGTATCACAGTAGGGAGGGGGCCGAGGTGGCTGGTGGCTTAGTCTCTGAAAGGTCTGTGGAGAGGAAGGAAAACACTGCACCAACACTGAGCTTCAGAGCTAGTCATGGCACTTGACACCTTAGGCCTAGAGATAAGCTTAGGAAATCTCATGTGTAAGAGGAGGAGAGGGTGGCAGAAGAGAACTCACCAAATAGGTTTCCAATTTCTTTCCTCTCAGTTTGTGTGAAGAAACAATGTGTTCACTTAGCACATTTAAAGTAGCTTCAAAATTAAATATTTTCTTAATAGACCAAAATAATTTAAGGACAAAATTAACTTGTGAGGCTTGATACAGGAAACTTGTTATCATATAAATGTTTTGATGAAAGACAGATTTCCTTAATATTTGTTACCATTAACTTCACCAGAAGAGTCCCATTGGGAAATCACTCTTGCCAGGCAAAAAATGAATATCTGTGTCCTTTACTTTTCTCAAATGGAATAAAATAAATTCTTCTCAGAAGGAAACATGATTCCCCCTTTTTAAAGATTTGGGGATTGCTAATTTAGAATTGAAAGATGTGGAACAATGTTGGGAAGGTCCAGGATGATGTCTGTGCCTGGACCCAGCAGCTGCTGTTGTGTTCATGGTGACACGGAAAGGTATGGGACACTTTGGCTGGTTGACCTGTGTAAGAAGCTTCAGGATTGTTAGGTATAGGTAAGAAATAACCACAATTATATTTTCTACATAATTTACTGCATTTTCAGTGTCTTTGGGGAGTTAATGTTTTAAAGAAATAATTTATCTTTTTGTTTGAACAACAGTACTGAATGTTGAAACCTAAGCAATCTCCCTTGTCAGGCAAACTGCTCCAGGTTTCTTCTGGAGAGACACAATGGCAGGCTTTGTTGTGCAAGGTCTTCTAGACTGCAGTTGGGAAGGCAGAAAGGGAGGATGTATGTTGAAGGTCATGGAATTGAGAGAAGAGCCACTTGGCACTGGCAAGGGCTGACAGCTGAGCTGTTCTGTATAGCAAAGGCTCAAAGAGTCATGAAGATTTATCTTTGGGAAAGACTGGACTATAGCCCTGGAAGCAAAGGCATCATCCATAACCTGTGTGTATGGCTGCTGTCTAATGTTCTAAAAACTTTACACACGACCTCATCTTGTCCTCACAATCTCTTTGTAAGGTAGGCACTTATCCCCATGTTACAAATGGAAAAATAAGCTAAATCACAGGTGGTAAGTGGGGCTGTTGAGAATCTAGTCCAGACTGACAGGGTTGGAAGTCTTGTTTTCTTAATCCCCTTGCTCTGGGCATTGCTGCACTGCCACCTTCTGATTTTCTTCTCTGTGCCTCGGGGAAGGTACTGATGGCCTGAGCTATGCTTAGAACATGGGGGGGCCACTCCAGCCTCTCTGGCTGCACTGGGCTGGTTGTAACCTCCCAAAGCAGGGCTTCAGAGAAAGTGGCAGAATAATTAAGACAGTTTCTACTGGTCCACCTGGGACACTGACTGTGTAGTGACAAAAGTCTGACCCATTGTCTGAATTCCAAGAACTATAGAATCAGCATTTGTATATCAAGTTTCTTGCTGGTGTAAAATCTACTGAATTTAGCCCCTGAGCCAGAGAGCCAAGTGTCTCACTTGACTGTATGAAATAAATTTCATTTGCGTTAGCAGTAAAACCTCCCTTAACCACTTTCCTTCCAGTGCTTAATGCCCTGGACAGGGTTTCTCCAAGCTTATGTCCAGAGAGGAGGGCCAGCTGGCGTCACCTGGCTCAACAGGGGCACTTGGGTAGGGTAGAGTGTGGACAGCATCCATTTTTGCTAGGTCTGTCAGAGCCATCTGGGTACAGTGGAGCTGCTGACGAGAAGTGAGGCCACTTTGTCTCCTGTAACCAATCAGGTCCCATTACCCCCGGAAAAACCATAGGGGGCTTAAAGAGACTGCTGAAGCAGTGGTAGTGGTGGTGCTGGCAGTGGAGTCCTTATCTCGGAGACTTTCCCAGATCGTTCCCCAAATTTCCCAAAGCATTTGGTTATTTTTAAATCACCATTTCACTGCCCTAATAAGAAACATGTGCTCTTCTCATGTATCCTCCTACCTCACTACCCATCAATCCATCTATCCATGTATATATAACCTTCCAGAATTCATTTACTAACTTCCAGAATACCAATTATGCCAAGAGGTGATGTAGTAGCAAGACATGGTCTTTATCAAGATGCTTATAATTTAACGAGAAAGATAAGACCTATTGAAGAGTGGTGAGATGATAAAACAAAACAAAAAAAAACTCTGGCCCATGATGGTCAATGGTTGAAAAAACAAGACAGGTTTTCTAGAGAGGCTGACATTTTCTTATTTGACACCAGAAAGGTTTTAAAGTGATATGGTAGTGGATAACTGTTTTCAAAAAATGCTCCTCAGTGTCAGCAAAGGTGTAGAGGAAAGAAATATGGGGGAAATGTAGATAGGAACCATGAGTAGCCTGGTGTTGAAGAAAATGTACATAGAATTGTGGGGAAATGCAATAGGAACAATTTGAGGCCAGGTTCTGGGAAACTGAAATCTGTGATGAAGTGATTTGGCATTATTTGATGAATGGAATACTACTGTAAGTCTGAGCAGCAGAGCTAATAAGCATTTAACAGTAATCTCAGTTTTGGAAAGGTTTGTTTGGAGGAAGGGAACCTCAAGAAATGATTGTTTCAATGGGATTTTAGAGGTGACTGAGATTCAAAGTGAGCCTCAAAAGGACCAATGTGATTCTAAGTAACTATGCCCAGAACAAAGCATAAAAATATTTAAAGGAAAAAAATAAAACCTAGTACCCCAAACCATAAAATTCACCATGTCTAGCATCCAACCAAAAGTTACCAGGTATGCTGAAAAATAAGAAATGACAACTGGGTGGGGAAAGAATCACCAAATAGATTTCAGTGACATGAATAACAGAATTTGCAGATAAGGATATAAAACAGCTATTACATATAAGCCCTATATGTTTGAGAATATATGAACACAATGATGGAAGAAATTAAAGTTATAAGATCCAAATAAAGTTCTAGAGATTGAAATACCTATAATGAAACATGCATTTAATGGGATTAGTGGTAGATTAGACATTGGGGGGAAAAAAAAACAGTGATGGAAACTACCCAAAACTAAACAAAGACTGAATAAGAAAATAAATTAAACCTCAATGAGCTTTGAGGCATCAAATGGCCCAATATATGTATAATTGAAAAGGAATAATTGGGAAGTTAAAGAAATAATGATTGGGATTTTTTCCAGTTAAATGTAACTATATAAGCCCACAGATCCACGAAATTTAACTCCAAACAGAAGAATCAGGAAAGGGTAAGGCAGCATGATAAGTAAATCTTTGAATGGAGAGGTGGCAACCTCTTCATGTCATTACTGTCAACTCTATAAAATCCCATGGGTACAAATTGAGACAATTGCTTAAGTCTCCCCTCCAACAAGTGAGCCTCTTCCAAAGTGTAAAGATTGCTGTTCAAGTCCAGGGCTCACCCATTATACCACTCACACTTTCAGCAGTTCCCACTGCCCATCAAATAATTCAGTGTTATTCAGAACCTGATCCCAAGTTATTAAGGTAGCAGTTTCCCACAATTCCATTTATGCTAAGTAATATTCAACCAAGTAGTTGGAAAGGAAGGACAGCCCATGGGCCAGTAGTCCAGAAGGTAATGGTTATTCTTGTTCCTTAGTGCCACTTTGACATCATTGCTCCTTCCTCCTCATAAGTCCTCCCGCTCTTATGGAACATACTTTCTTGCTACATAACCAACAGACCTTCTGGTCTCCCCGTCTTCCAATGAAGTTCTCAGAACTTCTCATTCTTGATATCTCTGTAGGTTGGTGATTCCCCATCTTTTTCATCTTATAACATTGAAAATAATATATACAGCATCCTGAAACAAAATGGAGAGGATGTGATAATCCTTAGGTGAGCCCTAGTGTTGCAGACAGATGCAGGGTAGTAGTTGCAAGGTTCATTGTTTTGATTTGTTTTAGAAATAAGTGATAGAAAGGTGTGCTAGATCTAGAAGAGAAGGAGAAATTGCTGCTGTCAGACAGAAGGGACAGTTAGTTGCTTAAGTGAAGACCTTGAGAAGAAGAGACACAATGGGCTCCAGAATACAAAATCAAAGGCTTGGCTTTAGATAAGGGCACAGACAGTTCAACTATAGTGCTAGATTGCTGGAAGGCAGAGCTTGTGTGCACATGCTCACATTTCATGGTGAGAAAATTAGAGCTCTTTAGATGGAAACTCTTCTCAGTATGGGAGAAAGAAATTAGCTGGGAATAAGAGGAAATAGTAATGGAGTTTTGAATGGAGAGGACATAAAGTAAAACAGGTATGTCCTTAATTGAGCCAACTAACATAATAAGGAGTTTTAGTTGCATTTCTGGGCAGTGTTGAGAGCCATTTCAAATTTCTGGTCATAGTAGAATAAAAATAAAGTTTAGCATTAGACCCAATTTATGTGGAGACAGTCTAAGATACAGGTACTGGGATACTCAAATCAGTGGGATAAATATGGACTTTTAAGTAAACAGGACATCTAGACAACCATTGGTTAAAAAAAAATTAAACTAGATCTATATTTAAGGATAAAATCCCAAATAGATTAGAGAGCTAACTGTACAAGGTGAAACCATATAAGTACAGGGAAACATAGGTAAAGTCCTAACTTTGGTGTATGAAAAGGATTTATAACTATAACTCAAAATCCACAGGCAATAAAAAGTTTTAAAATGACTACAAATAAATGTTGGTGAGGATGTGGGGGGAAAGGGATGTACACTCATACATTGCTGGTGGGACTGCAAATTGGTGCAACCACTCTGGAAAGCAGTATGGAGATTCCTCAGAAAACTTGCAATGAAACCACCATTAGATCCAGTTATCCGACTCCTCAGCTTATACCCAAAGGACTTAAAATCAGCATAATATAGTGACATTACCACATCAATATTTATAGCGGCTCAATTCACAATAGCTAAACTATGGAACCAACCTAGTGGCCCTTCAACAGATGAATGGATGAAGAAACTGTAGTATATATACACAGTGGAATATTACTCAGTCATAATAGATGAAGTGATGACATTTGCCAGTAAATGGATGGAGCTGGAGACTACCATTCTAAGTGAAATAAGCCAATCCCAAAAAACCAAAAGCTGAATGTTTTCTCTGATATAAGGATGCTAACTCACAATAAGGGGGGGCTGGGGAGGGAAGAATAAAAGTACTTTGGATTAGACAAAGGGGAATGAAGGGAAGGGAGGGAGGATAGGAATAGGAAAGAGAATGAATCAAACAAAACTTTCCTATATTTATATGAATACTCGACCAATTCCACATCATGTACAACCAGAGAATGGGAAGTTGTACCCTATATATGTATAATATGTCGAAATACATTCTACTGTCATGTATAACTAAAAAGAAGCACACACACACACACACACACACACAAAGG